TGGTGTTATATGTAGTGATGATGGATGGATTTATATGTAGTGATGATGGATGGTGTTATATGTAGTGATGATGATGGATGGTGTTATATGTTGTGATGATGAATGATGGTGTTATATGTAGTGATGATGATGGATGGTGTTATACAGTATGTAGTGATGAGGGAATAATGTTATATGTAGTGATGATGGATGGTGTTATATGTAGTGATGATGAATGTTGCTATATGTAGTGATGATGGATGATTTTATATGTAGTGATGATAAATGTTATGTGTAGTGATTATGGATGGTGTTATATGTAGTGATGATGATGGATGGTGTTATATGTAGTGATGATGGATGATGTTATATGTAGTGAGGATGAATGTTGTTATATGTAGTGATGATGGATGGTGTTATATGTAGTGATGATAAATGTTGTTATATGTAGTGATTATGGAAGGTGTTATATGTAGTGATGATGATGGATGGTGTTATATGTAGTGATGACGGATGGTGTTATATGTAGTGATATGATGGATGGTGTTATATGTAGTGATGAATTTTGTTATATGTAGTGATGATGAATGTTGTTATATGTAGTGATGATGGATGGTGTTATATGTAGTGATGATGGATGGTGTTATATGTAGTGATGATGTTTGGTGTTATATGTAGTGATGATGATGGATGGTGTTATATGTACTGATGATGAATGATGGTGCTATATGCAGTGATTATGATGGATGGTGTTATATGTAGTGATGGTGATGGATGGTGTTATATATAGTGATGATGATGGATGGTGTTATATGTAGTGATGATGGGTGGTGTTATATGTAGTGATGATGGGTGGTGTTATATGTAGTGATGATGATGGATGGTGTTATATGTAGTGATGACGGATGGTGTTATATGTTGTGATGATGAATGATGGTGTTATATATAGTGATGGTGGATGATGTTATATGTAGTGATGATGGATGGTGTTATATGTAGTGATGATGGATGGTGTTATATGTAGTGATGATGGATGGTGTTATATGTAGTGATATGGATGGTGTTATATTTACTGATGATGGATGGTGTTATATGTAGTAATGATGTTATATGTAGTGTTGATGGATGGTGTTATATGTAGTGATGATGAATGTTGTTATATGTAGTGATGCTGGTTGTTATATATAGTGATGCTGGATGTTATATGTAGTGATGAAGGATGTTGTTATATGTAGTGATGATGGATGGCGTTATATATAGTGATGATGGGTGGTGTTATATGTAGTGATTATGAATGTTGTTATATGTAGTGATGATGAATGATAGTATATGTAGTGATGATGGGTGGTGTTATATGTAGTGATGATGGATGATGTTATATGTAGTGATGATGGATGGTGTTATATGTAGTGATGATGAATGTTATATGTAGTGATGATGGATGGTGTTATATATAGTGATGATGTGTGGTGTTATATGTAGTGATTATGAATGTTGTTATATGTAGTGATGATGAATGATAGTATATGTAGTGATGATGGATGTTGTTATATGTAGTGATGCTGGATGTTGTCATATGTAGTGATGATGGGTTGTGTTATATGTAGTGATTATGGATGTTGTTATATGTAGTGATGATGGATGGTGTTATATATAGTGATGGGTTTTGTTATATGTAGTGATGATGAATGTTGTTATATGTAGTGATGATGGATGGTGTTATATATAGTGATGTGTAGTGTTATATGTAGTGATGATGTTATTATATATAGTGATGATGGATGTTGTTATTTGTAGTGATGGGTGGTGTTGTATGTAGTGATGATGGATGATGTTATATGTAGTGATGATAGATGGTGTTATATGCAGTGCTGATGAATGATGGTGTTATATGTAGTGATGATGGATGGTTTTATATGTAGTGATGATGATGGATGGTGTTATACAGTATGTAGTGATGATGGAATGATGTTATATGTAGTGATGATGGATGGTGTTATATGTAGTGATGATGAATGTTGCTATATGTAGTGATGATGGATGATGTTATATGTAGTGATGATAAATGTTATGTGTAGTGATTATGGATGGTGTTATATGTAGTGATGATGATGGATGGTGTTATATGTTGTGATGATGAATGATTGTATTATATGTAGTGATGATGATGGATGGTGTTATATATAGTGATGATGGATGGTGTTATATGTAGTGATGATGATGGATGGTGTTATATGTAGTGATGATGAATGATATTGCTATATGCAGTGATTATGATGGATGATGTTATATGTAGTGATGGTGATGGATGGTGTTATATATAGTGATGATGGATGGTGTTATATGTAGTGATGATGGATGGTGTTATATGTAGTGATGATGATGGATGGTGTTATATGTAGTGATGATGGGTGGTGTTATATGTAGAGATGGTGATGGATGGTGTTATATATAGTGATGATGATGGATGGTGTTATATGTAGTGATGTTGATGGATGGTGTTATATGTAGTGATGAATGATGGTGCTATATGCAGTGATTATGATGGATGGTGTTATATATAGTGATGATGGATGGTGTTATATGTAGTGATGATGATGGATGGTGTTATATGTAGTGATGATGAATGATGGTGCTATATGCAGTGATTATGATGGAGGATGTTATATGTAGTGATGGTGATGGATGGTGTTATATGTAGTGATGATGGGTGGTGTTATATGTAGTGATGATAGATGGTGTTATATGTAGTGATGATGGATGGTGTTATATGTAGTGATGATGATGGATGGTGTTATACGTAGTGATGACGGATCGTGTTCTATGTAGTGATGGGTGGTGTTATATGTAGTGATGATGAATGTTGTTATATGTAGTGATGATAGATGGTGTTATATGTAGTGATGATGGATGGTGTCATATGTAGTGATGATGATGGATGCTGTTATATGTAGTGATGATGGATGGTGTTATATGTAGTGATGATGAATGATGGTGTTATATGTAGTGATTATAGTGGATGGTGTTATATGTAGTGATGGTGGATGGTGTTATATGTAGTGATGATGGATGGTGTTATATTTAGTGATGATGAATGTGGTTATATGTAGTGATGATGGATGGTGTTATATGTAGTGATGATGTTGGATGGTGTTATAAGTAGTGATGACGGATGGTGTTACATAAAGTGATGATGGATGGTGTTATAAATAGTGATGATGGGTCGTGTTATATGAAGTAATGATGGATGGTGTTATATTTAGTGATGATGAATGTTGTTATATGTAGTGATGAAGGATGTTGTTATATGTAGTGATGACGGATGGTGTTATATGTAGTGATGATGGATGGTGTTATATGTAGTGATGAATGTTGTTATATGTAGTGATGCTGGATGTTGTTATATGTACTGATGATGGGTTGTTATATGTAGTGATGTTGTATATAGTGACGATGGATGGTGTTATATATAGTGATGATGGGTGGTGTTATATGTACTGATGATGAATGTTGTTATATGTAGTGATGATGGATGGTGTTATATATAGTGATGATGGGTGGTGTTATAGGTAGTGATGATGAATGTTGTTATATGTAGTGATGAATGTTATTATATGTAGTGATGGTGGATGGTGTTATATGTAGTGGTGATGATGAATGTTGTTATATGTAGTGATGATGGATGTTGTTATATGTAGTGACGATGGATGGTGTTATATGTAGTGATGATGATGGATGGTGTTATATGTAGTGATGATGGATGGTGATATATGTAGTGATGATGATGGATGGTGTTATATGTAGTGATGATAATGGATGGTGTATATGTTGTGATGATGAATGATGGTGTTATATGTAGTGATGACGGATGGTGTTATATGTAGTGATGATGGATGGTGTTATATGTAGTGATGATGTTATATGTAGTGATGATGGATGGTGTTATATGTAGTGATGATGGATGGTGTTATATGTAGTGATGATGAATGTTGTTATATGTAGTGATGCTGGATGTTGTTATATATAGTGAAGCTGGATGTTATATGTAGTGATGAAGGATGTTGTTATATGTAGTGATGATGGATGGTGTTATATATAGTGATGATGGGTGGTGTTATATGTAGTGATTATGAATGTTATATGTGGTGATGATGAATGATAGTATATGTAGTGATGATGGGTGGTGTTATATGTAGTGATGATGGATGATGTTATATGTAGTGATGATGGATGGTGTTATATGTAGTGATGATGAATGTTATATGTAGTGATGATGGATGGTGTTATATATAGTGTTGATGGGGGTGTTATATGTAGTGATGATGAATGTTGTTATATGTAGTGATGATGGATGGTGTTATATATAGTGATGATGGGTGGTGTTATATGTAGTGATGATGGATGGTGTTATATGTAGTGATGATGAATGTTGTTATATGTAGTGATGCTAGATGTTGTTATATGTAATGATGATGGGTTGTGTTATATGTAGTGATGATGGATGTTGTTATATGTAGTGACGATGGATGGTGTTTAGTGATTATGGGTGGTGTTATATGTAGTGATGAAGAATGTTATTATATGTAGTGATGATAGGATATTGTTATATGTAGTGATGACGGGTGGTGCTATATGTAGTGATGATGGATGGTGCTATATGTAGTGATGATGGATGGTGTTATATGTAGAGGAAGAAACGGGTAGTTGACTATCATAATATAAATGGATAATTATATCCAAGTTCTACGCACACTTTTTTTTCTAATTCTCAATCATGATAAGTAAACTCACCTTGCTGATGTGTGATTCCAAGTCCTGGGAGTATTAATTCATGTAGTACAATGACTCCATCCCTACCAGGGCTATTCTCATATAAGTGTACCTACCTCTGCTACTCTACATTTCAACCCAAGAATTTTCCGCCCTTTCGTATGGCATGTAGAAAATAAAACACATACAGTAACAATGACAGTTCAGACAGATTTTGAAGTAAGCTCATCTGTAGGGTAATAAAACTAGCATTGTACATTCTTTCCGAATTTCATATTCCATAAAATTTCTCACATCTTTAATTATAAATCATAATCAAGGTCAAATCTCTTCTCCTGAATACATAACAATAACCTGAGGTAAGTACAGCTTCAATTAAACTGAAGCTTATACTGCAGTTAGCTGAAGTAACATAAGAAGCACAAGTTAGGTACTCTGCAACTGAAACGATTGCTTTTCACTCACAGCAATCTTGCCCAAGCAGTAATCACTAAACCTTTGGCTGAGGTGCTCTCATAAGCAACACCCATTAAACAGCATATTTTTAAGAGCATCACACATCACAATATAGGTTATTTTTGTTTATTAACGGCAGTTCGGCAGTTGATAAGGCAGGAACTGTATCTTTGGGGTTAAAAATTTTCACCCCCTGAGTTTGTATACAAGAGACTTAATCAAGTCTCTCATGCGATTGGCTTCTTGTCTGTCAACATAGCAGGTTCCTAGAGCAGTTCCCTGAACAGCTTGCGCAGCTGTTTGATGAGCATAAGTCATAACGAAGGCCCCACAGTCATAACTGTTGTCTTGCTGTGTACAATGAGCATCTATTAGGGATGCTGGTATATCCCTATTCAGATAAGTGTTAATTCTTTGTACAAGGCAGCGAGCGTCTCGATAATTAGCACCCCTCTGGGAATCATAGTGATACCACTTGTTGTCAAACCTGCTATATACAAGGAGACTCCAATGACTTCCACCAGATGCAATAACTGATGAGTTGTCATTCACAGGTAGGAATATATAGTCCTTGAATCGTGCATCTAGAGGATCAAGAAATATAGGCAATTCATTGGCATCTCCCATCTTAATCAGCTGAGTTACTTCTGGACTAATAAATAATAGTCGGGATCTGCCCAAGAAAATGTCATGTTGTAGATGTTCAAACCAAAAAGAAATAAGCGAGTCATTAAGCCAGTTGCGTCCCTCCAAAAGTCTTAGATCTGATTCATGAATCAGACAGTCATGATAGCTGAGAATTACCCGGTCCCCCATATTTGCAGTAAAATACTTAATCCAGAAACAACCAAATGCTGCTTAAAACTGCTCTTTTGTTTTGTTTTTATTCTACCCTGGTTGAATTTTTTTATTCCTATAAACCTTGTGTTGTTCTCTCCTCACACTTTCTGTATCTGCCCATGACCATTCAATAAATTAGTTGCCAGAGCAGCTGGTGTTGGAGCACCAGACTGAGAGACTGTAGACTGAGAGACTGGGGTTTGTGAACCTTGTTGATTAATGCCTGTTTCTAAAAGTTTCATACGTTTGCGGGAGTAGTGCTGCCAGTGTAGTACAGTCTGGTCATCAATGAATTTACAGCATTGGCCATTGACAATTTCCTTTCTAAAGTTTTCGTGCTGCAGTAGATCCAGAAAGTAAAGGCACATAGGATACCTGAAAATAAAAAATAAACAATCATCAATGTTCTTTAGATTATTAATACAGTACAGGTATACAAATGCTGGCAAAAACAAATAATAGAAACAACCCTATCACTCAGTTCCCTAGTCACATGAAATTGCGATGGTGCCACATCAGCAAGGAAGGTTTGGGAGGGGGGCAATATTACCGGTACTGTATTCTCAAAGGTCTCAAGATACATGCACACAAAGACATTGTACTGGCCAGGGGCAGATCCAGGAATATCAAAAGGAGGGGGTCCAATAAGTTGTGGGTGGGGGAACATGGCAGGTCCACCCAGCTGGGGGCTTGGGGAGGGGGGCCCCTGTTAGCCCCCCCACCCATAAGTTTTTTTTTTAATTCTGACCAATATCACGGGCATTTTGAAGCCATGTGCACTTGATATTAGGAAATATTCCGAAGTCATTATTAAATATCTTTTACTATACAAAAATGCCTGAGTACAATACTGCATTCAAGAAAAAGTATTGGAATTTTCTGGTGAAAAGGGGCATTTGGACCCCCAGGGACCCCCCCTCCCCCATCCGCCCTTGCTGGCCATTCTGTATCCCTTCTCCGCAGTTGTAGAAAGGAATAATTAAATCCTTAGATACCTTAATTACTAATCTATAGTGTACTGTATACTAAATGGCCTTCCAACTGGGTGGCCAAAAGGGAAAAAGGGTCTAGTACAGTACAGTGGGGTATGCTATAACGAATCTAATTGGTTCTAGAACCTCATTCGTTGTAGCATTCGTTCATTATAGGATTAATCCGTCCCAGGGCCCCAAATACAACCACTTAACACTGAAAATTTACTGTGGAAAATGTAAAAAATACGGTACTTTATCTTTCCTAAGTGTTGTTCAGCATGCAGGTACCCCTAAGCATTGGCACATCACTATCACTTCCACTGGGAGTCTTGGCTTTAAGGTCCTCAAACAATTGTTTGGCCTTCTCACAAATTATAGCTTCACTAATGCTATCACCTGCCATTTCTTTCTCCTTTATCCAAACTAAGAGTAAATTTTCCATCTCTTCAATCACATTACACCTTGCTGTGCTAAGTCTAAAGATTCCCTTAGCCATTTGCACAGTTTTTAACTCCTCTTTATTCTTCAAAATCGTACATATAGTCTATTCAACCATCCCATATTCATCACTAAGTTTCGCAAGGCTTGTTCCATTCTCCCGTTTCTTTATGATTTCTTTCTTAGTTTCAAGGGTTATTAGCTTTCTCACTCGCTTTGGAATATTCATTGTTACAATTGTATACTTGTATAACAAAATAGTTATACAAATAACACGAATTTCCACATCAAAAGACGAAATTTCAATAATAAAAGTGGTGCACTGGCTACACAATGAGACAAAGATGGCGCCTGACGCTCTTGTTGTGAGCCGCTGTACAACAATATTCATGCGCCAGACGAAATAGTCCCGTATTCATCCGCGTTCGTTGTAGGAATTGCGTTCGTTATAGCATTCACAATTTTATAGGTAAAACCGTTCGTTATAGGAATATTCGTAGTTGGATCCGTTCGTTATAGCATACCCCACTGTATACTGTCACTTATCCCACCTCCACATAAATGAAAACTTCTGACAACCAGCATTTATCCAATCACAATATTTTAAAATTTATTATGCTAAGATCATGTTTTCATTAAGATGATGTGACCCTCTGCAGTTATAGAAGTATGCTTATGAAGTACAATAATACAGCATTTTCTTGATTTAACTAACTAATTTGAGCAATCCCTTTCGATAACCCATAAGCACTGGGTTAGGGTGCTCCTGGCAGTACCCCCCCCACCACCCCCACCCCTGCGGGGATAAATGGTGAAAAAAATCAACTTAAAAAAATAAAAAAATAATGGCGGAAAAATAGGCGGACAACCTCGATCGTCACCCGGGGCACGCTAGTCGAACGTTCTGGAACGTCACCCGGGGCCTAAGGGTTAAACCCAAATTTCCAGTAAATCCAGCTTTCTGTTATTTTTCGCTTAATTTAGTGAATTAGTTAACTAAATTGAGCCTGATTGTTAAATTCTGTGCCAAATATGGGGTTTGTTTACATCCGTTCAGTCTGCGTTCTGCCGCCACCTCGTGTGTTGTTCACTGCTACCTCTCGGTCTACATCTCAGTCAACTAACTGTGCATAGACATTATGCCAAAAGTCTCTCAGAAGTCACAGAAAGGAAGTGGTGTGGGGGAGAAAGTCAAAAGAGTGTGATTATCAATTGGAAAAAGTTTGGAAATAATAGAAAAAATTGAAAAAACATCGAACCCCCTAGTTTAAGGTAAGCCATGAATAATGTTTGTGTCTACGTAGGTGTGAGCGTATTAATGGAATTAATCTTGATTTAGCGAATTAGTTCACTAAATCCAGCAAATAATAACGGAAAAATTCCTTCCTCTAAATCGAGTTCATTATATCGGATTCTATTAAATTTCCATTGAGAGTATACCGTAACTCCGGTTGCCGGAACTCTGCAATACCCGGAATTGGCTCTGAATTTTTCCAGAAAAATTCAGAGTCAATTCCGGGTCTGTGAACAAGTAACCAAGGTTGAAAATCAAGTACATTCTAGGCCTGGGAATAAATTTTCAAGGAGTTTCAAGAGATTGCATCATGCTCCAACCCATCTGAACGAGTCAGGTGCATGGGTGGCCCAGCTACTTTGATCACTTAGTTCATATTCTCCTGTCCTGCTGTTTTTGTGTACAATTTGTCTTGTCCAATGCTGTACATTATTGAACAAGAACAAAATCAGTCATGAAAACAGTTTTAAGAACATAAAAATTTATTACAGTTACGTATACAATACTAAACATTCAGTAAGTGGGAAACACAGGCTTTCATTTTCATTCAAGACATCTTCAGGTCATGAAACCCAATACAGAATTCACCTACCACAACAATGGGTGACCTGACATGGCATCAGGTCAGGCCAGTAACATGACCTAATAATCCCCTGCCCAACCTCCATCACAAGTGTAGACATGATAACAGTTACATATTACCGGTGTATTCATATTACATTCAGCTGAGTGGAGTGTGACTGCCTACTCTAAGTTCAAGATGGCAGTATCTGCTGATAAGTAAGGAACAGCAGGCCCTTCAAATTCGAAGGGATTAGGTTCTCAAAATAGCTGCGAATAAGATTTGCTGACCAGGGCGGGGGGGGTTACATTTTTACTTATGTGCAAAGAAATGTATATTCCCATTACAAGTAAACCTTACAACAATTATTTCTTTAACCTGTATTGTTTACATGTATGTATGTATGTGTGTATGTATGTATGTGTGTATGTATGTGTGTGTGTGTGTGTGTGTGCGCGCGTGTGTAGACACTACTACTACAGTGGGGTATGCTATAACGAACGGATCCTACTACGAATATTCCTATAACGAACGGTTTTACCTATAAAATTGAGAATGCTATAATGAACGAAACTCCTACAACGAACATTATAAAAAAAAAATTTTTTTTTTTTTTTTTTTTTACTAATTTATTGTTTTTTTATTACAGGTTGTACCTCTCTAGTCCGGCATTCTGTGGTCCGGAACGATTTTAGTTTGTCCAATAGGTAGATAGGCAGCTTTTTTTTTTTCCCTTATCTGAATTATTATTATTATTACAGGAGTATTAAATTTTTGCCCCTCAGGCCCCAATGTGGGTCAGTGACCTATGCCCGGGTGGGCTAATCCCCTTAAAAAAAAAAAACGCCGCGGGAAATTAAGGTTTGTTTACATCCGGCAGTTCGGCTGCTCTCTCTCTCTCTGCTTGTCTATACAGAGTACAACATTTAACCCTTCAATATATATGAGCAGTAAATAAGTGTTGCTTTCATATTCTTATGTAGAGTAATGACGATATATTTTCACATGTGCGCACTTACATACGAGCAGTCTCACTTTTTTTTTACCATTAATGGTTAGCTACTTATATTGTTCCATTTATTAACATTAAATAACATTACAGGTACTTCAAGCAACCATATTCATTTTTTACATTAATTTTACTACAGCTAAACTCAGGGTCTTATTTTCTTCAGTTTTATATGTAGAACCAATCAGTCACTGGTTTCGTAAGCTTTAACATAAACAATGCCGGCAGCGGTCTCGTCTCCTCTAATATTCCACGTATTATTAATAAATTGTATTGTTAATTTTGCACACACGTACATTAATTCAATAAAAACAAATTCAGAAACATTAATTAAAATATATATGAACAGTAAATAAGTGTTGCTTTCATATTCTTATGTAAAGTAATGATGATATGTTTTCACGTGTGCGCATGCGCACTTACATATGAGATCTCTCTTTTTTCTTTACCATTATCGTTAGCTACTTCTATTGTTCCATTTATTAACATTAAATAACATTACTTAAAACAACCATATTAATTTTACTACAGCTACAACCAAGGTCTTATTTTCTTCAGTTTTATATGTAGAACCAGTCAGTCACTGGTTTTGTAATCAACGAAAACAATGCTGTGTCATTTCCTCGTGTTTTAATTTTCTACGTATTATTAATGAATTGTATTGCTCATTTTGCACATTAATTCAATAAAAAAGACATTCAGTAATAAACAATAATGAATCTTTTGTACATAAGAGAAATGACGCTGTTTACACGATTATGCACGTCGTCTGCACGTTCGCGGGCCGTTCAAACCCGTCGAAATTCAAGTTTCCGCCGTCAAAATTTTTATTTATTTATTTTTTTGTGTGTTCCAATAAAATACGGTAAGAATTAAAAACTCGCAAAATTTGAGAAGCTACTATACGACATTTAACCCTTCAATATGTCTTCAAAGAGACCATGACGCAGAGAAAGTGGTGCTAGTGCTTCCAGGCATAAGCACAAGTCACTATCTATCCAGGAAAAGGGTGAATTTCCATGGTCCGGCACCGGTCAGGTCCCGAGGTTGCCCGACTAGAGAGGTACAACTTGCACAAGTATTAATGATATTCTTTAT